CAACCGGTGTGCTGCTGTACTAGTGTAATGACAATGAAGCCTGCATGCAGTGTGAGGGGGCTAGTGGCCACGGGAGGTAATGATAGGGGAGTCAGCCTACAGTACGAATGCGCTAGTGGCCATGGGGAGGTAATGACAGGGGAGTCAGCCTACAGTACAAATGCACTAGTGGCCACGGAAGGTAATGACAGGAGAGTCAGCCTACAGTACGAATGCACTAGTGGCCACGGGAGGTAATGACAATGAAGCCTGCATGCAGTGTGAGGGGGCTAGTGGGAGGTAATGACAGGGGAGTCAGCGTACAGTACGAATGCACTAGTGGCCACGGGAGGTAATGGCAGAGGAGTCAGCGTACAGTACGAATGCACTAGTGGCCACGGGAGGTAATGACAGGCGAGTCAGCCTAAAGTACGAATGCACTAGTGGCCACGGGAGGTAATGACAGGGGAGTCAGCCTACAGTACGAGTGCACTAGTGGCCACGGGAGGTAATGACAAGGGAGTAGCCTACAGTATGAATGCACTAGTGGCCACGGGAGGTAATGACAGGGAAGTCAGCCTACAGTACGAATGCACTAGTGTCCAGGGGAGGTAATGACAGGGGTATCAGTTGTGAGTACGAAGGGACTGGTGGCTACGGGAGGTGATGATCGGGGTATCAGTTGTGAGTACGAAGGGACTGGTGGCTACGGGAGGTGATGATCGGGGTATCAGTTGTGAGTACGAAGGGACTGGTGGCTACGGGAGGTGATGATCGGGGTATCAGTTGTGAGTACGAAGGGACTGGTGGCTACGGGAATATTCGAGAAGGAAGCGTGGTGAGGCGACGTAAGAGGACGGTGGGGTCTGCCAGTGGAGCGAGCATCCAGATTCAGCGAGAATGATCGAGAAGAGGGGCATGGCCTCGGTCGGAACATAAGGGAGATGTGCAGGAGACTCGGGGCTGTTGCAGTGGGGGTCTCCGCCCGATGTCAAGTAAACGTTTATTCAATAAAGTGCCATTTCAAGAGAAGTGTCTGTCACGTCGCCATTGCACTAGCAACGAATGGGCACGTTCTGTTTACGTGATACAACCTTACTCATTGGCCGTGTCGGGTGGTGGCGGGCTAAACGACACACATTTACATATTTACGCGATCTAACACAAAAAACAAAACCTACATTATGGAGGGAGACTGTTAGAGACGACGTTTGGGATGGGGGGGAGAAGACGAGGATTGGATGAGGAGAGAGGGGTGAGGGAAGGTTCGAGAGAGAAGGGCTCGGAGGGAGAGGGGGATAAGAGGGGACAGCACCAGAGGCGGGGACGTTTTGGGGGGCCGAGTGCCAGGGAGCCACAGCATGAAGAGTGAAGCCTGGGGCCTAGTGTTGGCGGACGTGTCCAAATAAACGGCATCACTGCAGATGGAATGGGGCATTGTACATTTGAATTATTGTTGTTATTGTTGTTCGTGACAGCGGTGCATTTTCTGTGTTACCGACTCACGCACGCGCCCGTATCGACGTTTTTTTACCCCTCCACGTTTAGACTCGACGTCACCACGTATTCAGTGATGGGTTGCTTGGGTGCTGCTAAACATTTCCACGCGATGACGATGATGATGAGAAGCCAGACGCCACTTCGTTGAGCAGTCACGCAAGAAGGGCGTGGGCTGGATTCCGACCCTGACGATGCCTGCTGCTGTATATTTGGAGTCTGTGTTTCTGTCAACACCACCATCACGGTGTCCAGGAGATGTTAACTACCTCGCCTAGTGTACAGGTGGTCAAAGGTTTGAACGGTAAAAAGAAGAAATCTGCATGGTAACCCAGAGGGTGGCAGTTGGCCCCTTGCATGGCTAACAAGGTGCGTGGGTTACTAGGTGTCTGGGTTACCGGGTGTCTTGGTTACCGGGTGTCTGGGTTACCGGGTGTCTGGGTGTCTGGGTTACCGGGTGTCTGGGTAACCGGGTGTCTGGGTTACCGGGTGTCTGCGTTACCGGGTGTCTGGGTTACCAGGTGTCTGAGTTACCGGGTGTCTGGGTTAATGGGTGTCTGGGTTACCTGGTGTCTGGGTTACCGGGTGTCTGGGTTACCGAGTGTCTGGGTTACCAGGTGTCTGGGTTACCGGGTGTCTGGGTTACCTGGTGTCTGGGTCACCTGGTGTCTGGGTTACCGGGTGTCTGGGTTATCGGGTGTCTGGGTTACCGGGTGTATGGGTTACCTGGTGTCTGGGTTACCGGGTGTCTGTGTTACCGGGTGTTTGGGTTACCTGGTGTCTGGGTTATCGGGTGTCTGGGTTACCGGGTGTCTGGGTTACCTGGTGTCTGGGTTATCGGGTGTCTGGATCACCTGGTGTCTGGGTTACCTGGTGTCTGGGTTACCGGGTGTCTGGGTTACCGGGTGTCTGGGTTACCGGGTGTCTGGGTTACCTGGTGTCTGGGTTACCTGGTGTCTGGGTTACCGGGTGTCTGGGTTACCGGGTGTCTGGGTTACCTGGTGTCTGGGTTACCTGGTGTCTGGGTTACCGGGTGTCTGGATTACCGGGTGTCTGGGTTACCGGGTGTCTGGGTTACCGGGTGTCCGGGTTACCGGGTGTCCGGGTTACCGTGTGTCTGAGTCACAGTCCACACACAGCATACACACCCAGTCCACACACACACAGCATTCACACAGCACACACACACAGTCCACACACAGCACACAAACACAGTACACAAACACAGTACACAAACACAGTACACAAACACAGCACACACACACTGTACACACAGTACACAACACACATACACACAGTACACACACAGTACACACACAGCACACACACACAGTACACGCACACAGCATACACAAAGCACACGCACACAGTACACACACACAACACACACACAGATCATACACACAGTACACACAGTACATACACACACAGTACACACAACACACACAGTAACACACAAAGCACACACACACAGTACACACAACACACACAGTAACACACAAAGTAACACACAAAGTACACACACAGTACACACACACACAGTACACACACAGCGCACACACAGGACACACACACAACACACACAGTAACACACAAAGTAACACACAAAGTACACACACAGTACAAACACACACAGTACACACACACAGCGCACACACAGTACACACAGCACACACAGCACACAGTACACACAACACACACAGTAACACAAAGTAACACATAAAGTACACACAGAGTACACACACACAGTACACACAACACACACAGTAACACACAAAGTACACATACAGTACAGTACACACACAGTACACACACACAGTACACACACACAGCACACAGTACACACAGCACACAGAACACACACAGTACACACACAGTACACACAGTACACACACACAGCGCACATACAGTACACACACACAGTACACAGTGCACACACAGTACACACAGAGCACACACAGTACACACACCACACACACACAGTACACACACAGTACACACACACAGTACACAGTGCACACACAGCACACCCAGAACACACACAGTACACACACCACACACACACTGTACACACACACAGTACACACACACAGCACCACACACACACCACACACACACAGTACACACACCACACACACACAGTACACACACACACACAGTACACACACGGTACACACCCACAGTACACACACACACACAGTACACACAGCACACACACAGTACACACAGCGCACACAGTACACACACACAGTACACACAACACACAGAGTACACACACACAGTACACACACACAGTACACACACACACACAGCGCACACACAGTACATACACAGTACACACACAGTGCACAGTATACACACAGTACACACACAGTACACACACAGGACACACACAGTACACACACCACACACACAGTACACACACACAGTACACACACCACACACACAGTACACACACCACATACACAGTACACACACACAGCACACACACAGTACACACACAGTACACACACACAGTACACACACCACACACACACAGTACACACACCACACACACAGTACACACACACAGTACACACACCACACACACAGTACACACACCACACACACACAGTACACACACACACACAGTACACACACAGTACACACACACAGTACACAGTGCACACACAGTACACACAGCACACACACACCACACAGTACACACACGGTACACACACCACACACACAGTATACACACACAGTACACAGTACACACACCACACACACACAGTACACACACACAGTACACACAAAGTACACACACACAGTACACACACACAGTACACACACACTGTACACTGTGTCAGTTTTTAATGTGAGCCGCGTGCTGATCAAGGCCACGTGATGATAACGGGTGAGACGATGCTCGCGACTATCAGGCTGGGTTGGTGCGCCCTCGATCCAGCCAGGGGGAGGGGAGGGGGAGGTGGGGGTAGGAGGGGAGGAGGGGGGAGAGGAGAGTGGAGGGGGGAGGGGGAGGAGGAGGGGGAGGAGGGGGAGGGGGAGGAGGGGGAGGAGGGGGAGGAGGGGGAGGGGGTGGAGGAGGGGGGAGAGGAGAGTGGAGGGGGAGGAGAGTGGAGGGGGAGGAGGAGGGGGAGGAGGAGGAGGAGGGGGAGGAGAGTGGAGGGGGAGGAGAGTGGAGGGGGAGAGGGTGGAGGGAGGAGGGGGAGGAGGAGGGGGTGGAGGAGGGGGAGGAGAGTGGAGGGGGAGGAGGGGGTGGAGGAGGGGGAGGAGGAAGGAGGAGAGGAAGGGGGGAGGGGAGAAGGAGGAGCTCTGGTTGTAACATAAACAACAACACCAACAACACAACAACACCAACAACAACACAACAAGGTAATCATGGACTCGTCTTGATGGGGGGGCTAGTGGTGGATGAGTGGGTGGGGGCTAGTGGGGGACAAGTGGGTGGGGGCTAGTGGGGGATGAGTGGGTGGGGGCTAGTGGTGGATGAGTGGGTGGTGGCTAGTGGTGGATGAGTGGGTGGGGGCTAAGTGGGGGACGAGTGGGTGGGGGCTAGTAGGGGAGGAGAGGGGGGAGGGGCTAGCGGGGGCTGGGGTCGTCCTCCCCGCTCTGGTCACTCTCCACGGTGAGCTGTCGAGTCCACCAACGCTTCACCTCGGCGCCAGCGCCGGTAGCCCCGGGTGTCCTGGGGGGGCCCCCGGGCCCGCCCCCCCCCGAGAGTCGCGACGACGCCGCTGGACGGGCGGCGGCGCCGGCGGCACCGGCGGCGGCGCCACGGGAGGCGGTGCCACCGGCCGACACGGTGGGGCTGGTGGGCCTCGACGCTGGAGCACAGCAGGAACACAGCAACATAGCAGCAACACAGCAGCAGCAGCAGCAACACAGCAACACAGCAGCAGCAACAGCAACAACACAGCAACACAGCAACATAGCAGCAGCACAGCAGCAGCAGCAGCAACACAGCAACAGCAGCAGCAACAGTACCAGCCACAGCAGCAACAGCAGCAGCAACAATGGTGTTAGCGCGTGGTAGTGTGGTGACGGTTGTGTTGTTGGTGGTGGCGGCGGCGGTGTGCGGCCCATGGGCTTGTAATTACCAACCACGCTGTTCCGGCATCGGCGCATCCACACAACATCACGGATGCATGCCGGGTCCAAGCAAGAACATCTGCTGGACTACATAGTGACGGACCAGCGGATGCGAGCCCATGTCCTTGACACCACGACCTACCGTGGAGCTGATCTGCCCTCTAACCATCGACTTGTCATCTGTAAGATGCGCCTGCCATTCTTCCACTCCGGTGGTGGGTGTACACCCAGGACCCCATTCCAACCCATAGTGGCCTGGTCTCAGTTGTCTGATGAAAGTTGCAAGCGAGAATTTAATCATCGCGTGTGGCTGGGGTTGGCATCGTCCCCCACTCCTCCTGATGTCGAGGGGAAATGGGCGAGGTTTAGGACTGTGGCTCATGCAGCTGTAATGGCTGCTTTGGGTACACGGTCCAGACCTCCCCAGAGACCCTGGCTGACAGAGGAGGTGTTCAAGTTGAGAAAAAGCGACAGGCCCACTGTTATCGGCTACAGCATCCCACGTCAGAGAATGAGGCTTGGAGGTTCACAGAGCCATGAGGCGCTTCAAGCATGGGTGGTGGTTGCGGGTTGCTGAGGAGATGGAGTCTGCCTCAATGGCCCGCGATCACAAATCGCTCTTTAATTCCATAAACAAAGTAACCTGCAGCGCCACACCTATTACCATCATTAGGGGAAAGAACGGTGATCCAATCTCCGACCCCCAGGAACAGGTTTGCAGATTTGCTGAGCATTTCTGTGAGGTCCTGGGAGAGGGGAAATCCCTCAGCCTAGATAACGTGGGACAAAGTGGGGATGATCCTGCCGAGGCTGCGGTGCCTCAAATATTGGAAGAAGTCACCCCCTGTGAGTGGCTGGCTGAGGTGCCATCTGTTGAGGAAGTATTGAAAGTGATCCGGAGTCTGAGACCAGGAAAGGCACCGGGCAGAGATGATCTCCCAAACGACATGCTGAGGGAGGGTGGCGTTTGTGCACAGACTGCCATACATGACATCATAACAACAGTCTGGACCACTGGACGGGTTCCGCATGATTGGAAGGATGCCCTGGTGGTTCCCCTCTTTAAAAAGGGGGACCACACAGACTGTAACAACTACAGGGGCATCTCACTCCTCAGTGTGCCGGGAAAGGTCCTGGCAAGGATTATTCAACATTGCCTTGCTAGGCACGCTGAGGAGAGGCTTGCGGAGCCCCAATGCGGTTTCAGGAAAGGGCAGTCCTGCACAGATGCCATATTTTCTGTCCGTCTGCTACAGCAGAAGTGTCGGGAATTCCAACAAGACCTATAGCTCTGCTTTATTGACCTGGTCACGGCCTATGATATCATCAGCAGGCCTGGGCTCTGGGTTGTTCTTCATGCTTTCGTAGTCCCTGACCCTCTGCTCACAATCATTAAGGACCTTCATGATGGTGAGCGGGCTCGGGTAAAACTACATGGCTGGGAGTCAGAGCCATTCCCTGTACACCTTTGGGTGTGACAGGGATGTCCTCTGGCTCCCACATTATTTGACATCTATTTCGACGACGTAGTTCGTGAAGCCTTCAATAGCTATACCGGAGGAATTTCCATCTGGTACAGATACAATGAGAGGGTGATCGATGCCCGGGTGCGGTCAAGGGATGGCTCCGTATTGCCCAACCATGTTATTTATGCTGATGATCTGGTAAATGCTGCTCACTCAGAGGAGGAGTTGGAGGCGCTGCTGCTAAACCTGGAGCGTGCGACTAAGAGGTGGGGCCTTACCATCAGCCCCACCAAAACTAAGGACCTGCCTGGGTATTTTGTACCATCGGACACTCCACCCCCACAATTCCCGGCCAGTTGTGGAGAGAGTGGAAAGTTTCCCATACCTGGGCAGTGTGCTTATGACTGGCTCCAGTTTAACAGCAGAGGTCTCACTCCGAATCAGTCAAGCGGCAATATCTTTTCATCGGTTGCATAACGCTGTGTGGAATCTACCTGGTCTGTCGCTCCACATGAAGCTTCAGGTCTTCACGACCACGGTCACTCCCTCCCTTCTCTACGCTGGCGAAACGTGGACCCTCCTAATGGGACATCTTCGCCGGTTAGAAACATTTAGGAGCTCACAAATCCTTGAAAGATCTGGAAAAAGTCCCATTAGTGAGCTCCTCTGGCAAGCAAGGCTGCGTTGGCTGGGCCATGTAGCCTGTATGCCCAGCCACCGCATGCCTAAACAGCTTTTGTTCGGCCGAATCGAGGGGGCTAAATGGGCACGGCATGGGCTAAAGAAGAGATGGAGTGATGTGGTACAGGAGGAAGGGGAGCTGAATGGTTGCTTAATTTGAAGATGGTTTCAAATTAAGCAACCATTGGAAAGATGTTCTAAATCTAACCAAACATTAAACTAATTTTCAATGTTCTTAGCTCTTTCGGTAAAGTCACATTGAAGGGAAACAATAAAATAAAAAAATATATATAAAACAATAAAAATTCTCACGACGTTTCGACCACAACACAAACGGTCGAAACGTCGTGAGAATTTTTATTGTTTTTTATATATATTTTTTATTATTTTATTGTTTCCCTTCAACGTGACTTTACCGAAAAAGCTAAGAATATGAATTACTGCAGTCACGAAAGCTTTAAATCAAAATTAAATTTTCAACGGTACAGTATATTTTTTCAAGTAGTGGCACCCCAAACTTTCAGCAGCACATGCGGGTGCATGTGCACCTACATGTTCACCCCCTCTACACCTTTCATCATGCTAAGTCCGTCAATTAAATGCTAATTTTTTATGCTAATTCCTTTGTCAAGGCACCTTAATCCCTCTCACACAGCTTAAAGGCCGTGGTCTGAGCTTGGCTGTGTTCACTTCAGCGCTGTCCTCTAGACAGTCTGGTCCCTTCAACCTGATGAAGGCAACTTGTGTTGTGGCCAAAACGTCGTGATTTTTGTTGTTTTATTTTTTACCTACGTGACTTTACCGAATAGAGCCAAAGAGTATGGATCCTTGCAGTCACGAAAGCTTTAAATATAGAAATGCCAATGCGGGCGCGGCACGGGCTAGAGAAGAGATGGAGTGATGTGGTACAGGAGGACGTGGAGCTGAGTGGACTTGCCGATGACTGGTACCAGCGGTGTCAAGATCGGCCTCTGTGGAGGAGGCTCGTGAAGGATGCTATTGGGCAGTTGGAGGCAGTCGCCCTCCAACAACGACGGAGGATGGAGGAGCGATGGTTCACAACAACGAGCGAAGCGCCGGGTGGCTAAAGCGCAGGAAGTTGGCACAGTAGGGGGCACAGGTGGTGCATCAGCCAGTCGTCTCAGTAAGTCGACCTGTGGCACTTGTGTCTGCCCCGTGACCTCCTGCCAGCGGGCGTTCGACACTTCACGTGGCCTCAAGGTGCACATAGCCTGGCACAAGTGTAGTGGTGACGTCACCGCCACTTAGTGGTGAATTGCTGTGATGGAGGTGACGGTGGATGTGATGGTGCTGCTGTTGGCGATGATGAAAGTGCAGGTGATGGTGGATGTGTTGGTGGTAGAGGTGACGGCGGTAGTGGTGGAGGCGACGGTGGATGTGACGGTGATGATGGTGGAGGTGACGATGATGACGGAGGAGGTGATGATGGTGGAGGTGACGGTGATGACGGTGGAGGTGACGGTGGAGGCGACGGTGATGATGGTGGAGGTGACGGTGATGATGGTGGAGGTGATGGTGATGGTGATGACGGTGGAGGTGACGGTGGTGATGGTGGAGGTGACGGTGATGATGGTGGAGGTGACGGTGATGACGGTGGAGGTGACGGTGATGATGGTGGAGGTTACGGTGGAGGTGATGGTGATGATGATGGTGGAGGTGATGGTGATGACGGTGGAGGTGACGGTGATGATGGTGGAGGTGATGATGATGACAGTGGAGGTGACGGTGATGACGGTGATGACGGTGATGACGGTGGAGGCGACGGTGATGACGGTGGAGGTGACGGTGATCACGGTGGAGGTGACGGCGATGACGGTGGAGGTGACGGTGGAGGTGACGGTGATCACGGTGGAGGCAACGGTGATGGAGGTGACGGTGATGACTGGTGGAGGTGACGGTGATCATGGAGGTGATGGTGATGACGGTGGACGGTGATGACAGTGGAGGTGACGGTGATGACGGTGGAGGTGACGATGATGACGGAGGAGGTGATGATGGTGGAGGTGACGGTGATGACGGTGGAGGTGACGGTGGAGGCGACGGTGATGATGGTGGAGGTGACGGTGATGATGGTGGAGGTGATGGTGATGGTGATGACGGTGGAGGTGACGGTGGTGATGGTGGAGGTGACGGTGATGATGGTGGAGGTGACGGTGATGACGGTGGAGGTGACGGTGATGATGGTGGAGGTTACGGTGGAGGTGATGGTGATGATGATGGTGGAGGTGATGGTGATGACGGTGGAGGTGACGGTGATGATGGTG